CCCGCCCCGACTTGTCCCGCACGGGCAGCCGTTGCGCACAGGCATTTCCCACTCCGCTATGCCCCCTTTTGCCCCCTCCCCCTCAGGCTGCCGCTGCTCCTCTCGAAAGGGGCAGGACGCCAAACTCTTGGGGGACGCGTGGCACCGACCCGGACCCGGAGCGACGCCCGCGCCCCGCGCCCGTACTGGCCGCAGCGCCTTATGACCCTCGGGTAGGCAGCCCGGCCGCACGGCTGCGGGCGGTACAGCCCACCCGCCGCGGCGACGGGGCAGCGCGGCAGTGCGTCGCGGCTGCGGCGGACAATGGGAGTGGGGCCTGGGGGCTGAGTGGGTGCCTGCCTGCCTATCTCCCTCCATCGCACCCACTCCAGCTGCCCCTCCGCGTCGGCAACCCCAGGACAAGGTCGGCTCGGCGCCCGCCTACCTGGAGCGGCAGCAGTTCCCCGCGCCCCCGCCCAAACTGAACTGACCCGAGGCTAACCAAACCAATCCGACCCAGCGCGGGATAAGAGATCATCCGTCATTCGCGGTTACGATCGAACCTGCCAAGTTCAGCCTGCTGTGCAAGCTCTCATAACGCCCGGTAGGTAGGCAACATATCACCTGCGGCGCATTCGTGTGCTGCGGGATAGCCTACCCTGAGTCTCGCAGGCGCCGATCTCCCGTAATTATTTACCGAATGTATCGGAGGAAAAAATCGGACGAACTTTCTGGACGATCCCTAGCCCGATAAAAGAAATGGAAGGATGAGGGGGAGAACACTCGACAAGCCTCGCGGGCGACGAGATGCGACAGCGAGGGCCGCTGTCGCGCCTCCTGCCGCCTCCCCTTCGAGACAGGGAACGCTGACGGGGACCCCAAGCCAAGGTGCAGCTTCTTCCTTTTCTCTCGACGGCAACGCGCCGCGCCAGGCCGCGCCAGGCCGCGCCAGGTGACACGCCGCGCGCCCCGTCACACCCCGCCACGCCCCGCCTCGTATCCGGAAGTAACCCGGGGAGACACAGCGGAAGAGGGGTCTCTACCGCCGCCGCTGCAGCAGCATCTTCTTGGCGCCCGCCCCCTGACGACAACCACCTCCCCGCCACGGCCACGCGGCATCGCGGCGCCCGCAACCACCACCTCGGCGCGGGGGCCCGGCGTGGACCACCTCGACCACCGGCAGGAGTCGGAGCCGCCCCTCCCCTCCCCACCCCCGCCATGTGCCCCCGTGCCGTGCGCCGGCGGCTAGGCCGGCGGCGTGCCCTCCTCGCCCCATGCCCAGATATTCTTGTCGCGGTCTGAGCGGCGGTCGGGTCGGCTGCTGCGGAGCGGCGCGAGCTGCGCGAGGGACCCCGTGGAGCCACCGCGGCTATGCCATGCCGAGGGCCTTCCTGATCACGCACCGGCGCTACCGGCAGGGCGCCGGCCCCGGCCTGCCGGAGGGCCTGCCGGAGGGCCTGCCGGAGGGCGAGGGCGACGACCCCGCCGCCGAGCACGCCAACGACTCGGACGACGGCGGGCAGGACCAGGACGAGGACGGCGTCGACGAGAAGCAGCTCGCCGTCGAGGATGAAGGTGAGTTCGGGGTGGCCATCGCCAGCCCCTGTTTGGTGGAAGTTGTCATGCTGTCCTAGCCGTCCAGTTGCAGCAGAAGAAGTATCACGATGTCGTCCTATCGAAAGTTTAAGGTCAGAAAGTTGCGTCCTCCGTTTTCAGTCAATTTATTGTTCAGTCGTGTTCAGTAAGGACACGATCGCCTCGAGTTTCTGAAAGGCTAATCGTTTAGTATGCGAGTTCATGGTCAACTGCACGGATCAAAGGTGGAAGTATACAAATTTTGTACCTCAGGGGTGTATGTATATTTTGGATGCTTGGTATTACGTACTTGGCCGTGACGCATCGGATGCGTGAAAGAGGACATGGTGGGTTCGCTTCGACGAAGTTGTCGCTCTTTTGGCAGATGGGGGTTGGCACCAGCGAGCCAGACCGTGGACGCGGCAACAGGTGTTGGCCGCGCTACGCGACGCTACGCCTCAGCGCCACCGCGGCCACGGTGGCGGTGGCGGGGGGCTGTCCGAGCGTTACTGCCACCCACCACCCCCTGGGGACGGGTGTCGCTACCGATGGGGTGGTGCAATCTGCATAATGGACCAAGAGAAGCGCCCGGGCCGGGGGTCGGGGGGCTCAGTGCCCACCTGGCAGTGTCGAGAATGATTCCAACTTGTGACCACTCACCTAGCGTTTGCTTCCGGCTCTCAGAACCTTCGGGCGACTCGGACTCCTCCGGTGCTGGCGTGGGGCTCGCCGACCTGGCCGGGTTGGCCGGGTTGGGGCTGGCGGGCTCCTGGGGCGTGCCCGACGAGCTGTTCAACCTCACGCAGTTGGCGGAGGTGAGCCTGGCCGCGGCCGCGGCGCAGGGCCACCACTTCCGCAGCGGCGACCCCGACCAGCAACCGGTGAGTACTACGGTGCGGGTCCCCGGGACGGGACTTTGCCTGCTCCAGCCCGACCTCATGCTGACGCCCTCCTCCTCGATCCACAGGTCCGCGGCGGCGCGCAGGGCGGCGCCGGCTCCCCGCCGGGCGCGGGCGCGCACGGCTGCGTGGACTGCGGCAAGAGGTACTCGACGGCCAGCAACCTGGCGCGGCACCGGCAGACGCACCGGTCGCTCGCGGGCCAGCAGGCGCGCGGCTGCCCGACCTGCGGCAAGCTGTACGTGTCCATCCCGGCCTTCGCCATGCACGTGCGCACGCACGCGCAGGCGTGCCGCTGCGAGTTCTGCGGCAAGACCTTCTCGCGGCCCTGGCTGCTGCAGGGCCACCTGCGCACGCACACGGGCGAGAAGCCCTTCAAGTGCGGCGTGTGCGCCAAGGCGTTCGCCGACAAGTCCAACCTGCGCGCGCACGTGCAGACGCACTCGGACGCCAAGCCGCACGTGTGCGGGCGCTGCGGCAAGGCCTTCGCCCTCAAGTCGTACCTGTACAAGCACGAGGAGGCGTCCTGCCTGCGCCAGGGTCAGGGCCACGGCCTGCACGGCCCCGCGCAGCACCTCGGCAGCCGCTCGCTGTCCTCCTCGCCGCCCTCCTCCCCCGACATGCGGTAAGCCGTCCGTCCGCCTTGGTCCATTGGAACCCTCGACAGTCCTAGTAGTCCTGGATAGGGCCAGATTGTCGGGGGTTCGAATCGCGCCGCGTCGTCGTCGGGTGGCAACCCCTCCTGCAGCGGAGTCCTCTGCTCGCTGTACGTCGCGTTGCGCCGAGCCGTCGTTTTGGCTGCCGCTTGCTCCTTGGCGTGAGGGGAGGCCAGGAAATGGCAAGAGGAAATGGCGCAACCTGGTCTAATGTCTGTTCCAATCAACCACCGACCGGGGCCGCGAACCCTGCTCCGGGCAGGTGGGGTGCAGGTACATGTTGCTCCTTCAATTACTTTATATTTCTCCAGTTGTGACGTAACATTACGAGAGGTATTTTTGTAAAACATCTTAGTCGTAGAAAGATTTTTTGTACTTACGTAATGTGGCTCTGTCTGTTTGATAATCGTTAATTTTAGTCCTTATTGTAAATAGATAAGGTGTTCCCAAAATAGACTGCCGGTGTTCTACACGGTGGGTGTCTAGAGCTTTCTTCCGGAGTATCAAAACAGATAGAATGAAAGCATTTGAACTGTTCATTTTGTGATACTTCATGACAATAGTATTATTAATTTAGGCCCCTGCTGCTGTAATTTTGCATGTAGTTTAGGCAAAGATATTTGATATTTGTACTGCGTTTTATTCTTCTTACATTGTTATTTTAATTATCTTCATGTTTCATGGACGAGAGTGAAACTAGTCGTTTTTGGATAGATGTATGCTCTAATTGCTTACATTACCCTACATCTCCCATTGTGTTTCTTTAATTTAATTTTGTTTACTTATT